AAACGATTCCCCCACTGGGAAACAAATGAATGGATGCAGTCTCAGAATAGTCATTCTGAGTTTATTTTTATTTACCATGGGGGGGGGGGAAATCTATCCATCAACCACTTGCAATGAGGCTTGGGTTGTGAGGAAAGTGGGAGAAATCCTCTCCTCAGACTGAGCAGCCCCTCCAAGAGCTTATTCCAGTCTAATGGCTGAAGCAGACTGCAGCATCTTACAGGCCTTACAGACCCCACAGAGGAGCAAGGGAGGATCCATGGAGCAAGGGAGACTCCAACCATTCCCAACCGCTCCAATCATGCACACACTGAGCTTGTGCAGATTAAGGCATTGTACAATGTAGGGAGTGTGCGCTCCGTCGGCATGTTTCACTGTTAAGAGGGCCTCTGTGTGTGCAGAGGGGTAACTGCGTTTGTGCAAGTATGCACCTAGGGTGGGATTTTCAGAAGCGTCTAAGGGCTTGTCTAAACTCAAAAGTTCTCTGACTTTAACTATAGCAGTTCACTGTATACAGTTATTCTATTCTAGACAGGCTCTTATATCGTGCTCATCACAGTAATACCAGTGAGCCTACAACATCCCTAACCTGGATGCAATTATACTAGTGTAAATGTGCTTCTGTTAATATAGTTTGTTCCCATATGGGAAGTGAAATAAACTATACTGGCCTAAGGCTATGTTCACACTAAGGGAAGTACGGATACAACCATTTCTGTAAAAAATCACCCCCCTAACCAAAATAGAAATACTACTACAAAAGCTATGAGCAGACCATGCCTAAGTGACTTAGAAACACAAGCCCCATAACACAGGTTCTTTAAACAATCCCACCCAGAGCTACTTTAGTTTCATTGTTACTAAGAGTGATTAACAATAAAAGCATCCACGTCCAGGAGGCTTCAATCAGTTTCTTATGCTGGGTATGGTATGATCTCGTCTTTGCTTGCAATTAAACTGTTTCCAGCAGCAGGTCAGATGCACCCACTACCAACGCCCATTGTCAGCCATGAATATATATCTAAACCCTGATCCTGCAAACACTTATGCATGTTTTAAGCTTTAAGCACTTGAGTAATCCCATTGATGCCAAACAGGTACCAGTTACCTCATGCAAATGCCTAAAGCAAGGAGTCATTCAGTCTGTGGGGAGATGGAGCACCTCATATATATCAATTTCAATTAATTTATTATTTCCATATTTTTACCACTTTGTTCAAGTATCATGAAAATGTATTTGCTCCCTTTTCATATATAATACATTAATCAGTTATTTAGTCATCAATAGCATTATGGCTTGTTAAAAACTACAGTAAGATTTCATTTTTTTTTCACTCAACATTCACTCTGATTACACGTCAAAATCCCTTTATAAAATATCCTATGTCCATACCTTCAATATTAAATGAATTAATAAATGTTATTATTCAAGTTCTAAAAAATTTATATCTATAGTCCATCTCAGAATAAAATATTAAACTACAAAATCCTCCTAAATAAGGTTTCTTTAAAAAAGACAAGCTTAACTTATCATTCTCCACTTAAGAAATTATTTCTTTTGTTACTGCATTAAAATCCACTGATAACTGGAAATAAGTCTTTGTTTTATCTAACCTACCTATTAATACAGGTGGGTAAACTATCTGTAATTATTTATTTGATGAAATTACCCATTTTTACTTATTAGCAAATTGTTCATAAACAGTCCATAATCTTTATAAATTTGGTCATTATTTGAAATTAATCAGTGCATTATGTGAACATTAGAGCTGCTCAGAAAATAGTTTGCTTTTTCCCCTGTGGAAAATTTCAGCAGAAATGATTTTTTTCCTCTTGAAAATATAGACCTTTTTGGAAAAAATATTTTGGCTGAAAATCAAACTAGTTTGATTCAAAATGGTGTTGTGGTGTCTCATGGGAGCTGTTGTTTGGATGCCTTATGTTTCCACTTTCCTACAGGGCCTTGGCGCTATGACTGGACTACATTTCCCATGATGCACCACTAATTCCTTCTGAATAAGGAATGGGGTGCATTAATGAAGTACCTGGTTATGGTGCATCACAGGAGATCTCGTCCCCCCAAAGAATGTGACTAATAGAGGACAGGTGCATAAAGCAACTGAACTAAAATTGCTATGAGGCACTGCAGTACCATTTTGACAAAAATATTTTGTTTTTTCTCCCCAACAAAATGAAATTTTCTGCAGAACGCAGACACTTTTGTTAAAAATATTTAGTTCAAAACTCAATTTTCCACTGAAAAACAGTTCTGACAGAAAAATTAACTAGCCATAGTGAACATACTTCAGCCTATGGCAGGGGTCGGCAACCTTCGGCATGCAGCCCATTAGGGTAATCCGCTGTCGGGCTGCGAGACATTTTGTTTACATTGACCGTCCGCAGGCACGGCTCCCCGCAGCTCCCAGAGGCCACGGCTCACTGTTTCTGGCCAATGGGAGCTGTGGGGAGTGGTTGGCCGGGAACGGCAAACCGCGGACATGGGGAGTGGTGGGGGGGCCATACCCATGGACAGTCAATGTAAACACAATGTCCCGTGGCCCGCCAGTGGAGTACCCTGATAGTCCGCATGCCAAAGGTTGCCGATCCCTGGCCCAGTCTGGTCATGAATTGTAAACTGAAACAATTAATTTGCAAATTCACTCTGCTTTCTGTGCTGTATCACTGGTCACATGGCATTGTCTTCCATCTCTGACAGTATAAGTGAAAATTATATAAATAGAAGGAGGGCTTGAAGAAGTCACTTCTGTTTTGAACATTCACCACAGTATTAATAAGATGCTAACTTTTTACAAATACTTTTGCCAATAATCATTCAGATAAATGTCTGCAGAAAAGGAATAAAATGAATAAAGAGCATTACAAATGCTGTCAAGGTGAATTTGTGGGTTTATCTAAATACTTTTTTGCAATGTTTGCCCATCTCTACCTATTGGTTTCACATATTAGTAAGTCCTTGTGGTGCATCAGTTAAGGGACACTGGTCCAAATTTTAAGGTTATGTGTGAGGAGATTGTGAATTATGCAATGGGAAGGTAAGGCACTGAGCCTGTAATTGGCAATGAAGAGGCAAAATGACTCACCCCTTTTCCCACTGAACTCAGAAGGTGTTCACTCATGTGGCTCTTTTTGCAGAAGCAGAGTTTAACTGGATGGAGTAGAATTAAAAGAGTCCAAAGTGGGGTTATGTGCTGAGAGTACTGATAAAAAGTGGAGGTAAAAACAAATTTATCTTGGACTCACTTCTGAATTTGACCTTTGTTTCAGATAGTTTAGACCTGAACCATTTTTAGGGCCATACAACCACATTCTGGTTCCTGCTTCCCACCATTGGAAAAGTAATCTGTACCGGCAGTATTCCTGGTACGGATGACCTCCATCAGCATGCTTAGCTGCACTGTCTCATCCATTAGATGGGGTAGAGTCAAAACTGTACCATTCCTCTCCTCCACCTTTCCATTCTCCATTCACATGTATGGGAGACAGACAGTAGCAGCCTGTTGTCAGTTGTGCTCCCTCTTTTCCTGCTACTTGCAATAGGTGTAGCTGGCAAGGGAATAAGGGCACATTAGCCAGTTCATAATCTAGCGGTAGAGAAGGGACTTTTTGTATCCCTGGGGATTCATCCTTTTATTCTGGCCCTCATTTGCTTATCTCTGAGGTCAGAGTACGTCTCTTTGTGGTAGCTAAAGGTGCTTTAGGAGCTAATTGAAGACTTAGAAAGCAGAAATTTAAAGAGAACTGGGTAAATTCATGGAGATTAAGTCCATGAATGGCTATTAGCCAGGACGGGTAAGGAATGGTGTCCCTAGCCTGTTTGTCAGAGGGTGGAGACGGATGGCAGGAGAGAGATCACTTGATTATTACCTGTTAGGTTCACTCCCTCTGGGGCACCTGGCATTGGCCACTGTCGGTAGACAGGATACTGGGCTGGATGGACCTTTGGTCTGACCCAGTCTGACCGTTCTTATGTTCTTATGTACATGCTGCACCATAACATAGCCATGGTCACTCTTGCAGGTGAGCTCCAATGTGGAAGTATCCATCTTTAGCCTTAGGGTGGGGATATTGTATTTTATAAATGACATGTGATAAAAAACCTGCATAATATGTGTGCTGTCTTTTTAACGTGCCTTTACACTAAAAGGGAAGTCTAAATATTTAGTTACAGAGATCTCCACCAACAGACTGATAACTGTGTAAACATAAAAAAAACCATTGAAAGGACTCGTTCCTCGTTGTTAATACATCTAAGCATACCAGGTGTGATAGAGTTTGAAGAAGCATGTGGTATCAGAGAGGTAGTGCTGGCATAAACAGGGGCTTCCTACAGAAGAGATGTTCACTTTCACTGAAATGCAGGCTGAGCAAATAATCCCTCCCTAGTCTGGTATCTCTGCCATATGGCCATGGTCTGACCAGCTTGTGAGCAGGCAGCATGCCATCCCAACAGATGGACATGAATATAGCTAACCAAGGATACTTTTATCCTATGTGCAGCAGATGTATGTACTTATTAAAAGCATCATCCCCAGCTGTGAAAGTTGAAACGGCTGTCTGCCTGGACCCACTGTTCCTAGAGATCAGAGGATATGACAATACTGACCCACCATGGAAACTGATCAACTTTGAATATCATAAAATATTATTTTTTTGTCAAGTTATCCTCCTGAGGCTGCATAGCTAAGCTATACCAAGACTTGGAATTCTTCAGGAGATTCTTTTTTTTTTTTTTTTTTTGGCTGGACAATATGTCATGACACTTGACATAGAAACAACAGAGCTCAGAACATGCCTTCTGTTCTTTGGCTTTCATTAATTTGCTTGCAGTACCCACAGAGCCTGTAAAAGTGGGATTTGTGGTACAGTGTATGGCAAAGAATTTCCCCTCCTCCTTGATGGAACTGAATTGCTGCTGTTTGTCCCACAATCAGAGAGGCCAAAGGAAGAGATGGAGTGAGCACCATCATGGAATATGTAATGCAAAATTTGAATACTATCATTCAGCATCTTTTATTAACACACATAATAATCTTGTTAATATAAACATCTTTCTTTCTGCTCCACCTCTAACTCTCTTTAAGGAGGCTGCTTAGGTGATCTCAGTTGCTCTCATGCCTTCAACTACTGTCTTTATGCTGATGACACACAAATCTACCTCCCTTTCTTGACCTATTTCTCTTCATCCCATCTTCCATCTTGACCCGTTTCTCTGACATCCCCACTTGGATGTCTCACCATCTTAAAATTAATTGGGTCAAAACTGAATTCCTAAGTAGTATTCCTGAATACTAAGTAGATTTACTTTTGTTTCATCTGAGGATAGGCTGTAGAAAATCCTTTAATTTGTATATAAGTTCTAAGGCAACAAAACCTATCTACTGGATGCATGCTGCACACATATACACTCATTGCTTAGGATGTGGATTTCTGTGTACAATTAAGTGACTGTATCTGCATGGAAAAGCAGCTTTTTACTTCACTAAATTTCTGTCATGCTTGCTTTTATGCCTTCAATACATCCTTTTGTTCAGCTTTCTAGATTTTTCAATTTATTTGTTTTAAATCTTTTTTTCACATGGATATGAATTTTACCCTCTGTACCAGGCTCAAGTGTTCTACTCTTCTAACCTTTTCACATTTTATCCGAATTCCTGAGGGGATGGAACTATTCACTGGTAAGCTATTATCTGCTTGTTTTCACCTTTTCCTAGTGCTATAGAGGTACATATTCTTTTTTCAGGCCTGGATAATGGATAATGAGTTTGTTTGGTTTATTTTTTTAGATTCGTATATGAATGCTTGTTACTTTATTAATTTCAGAAATTGTTTTGAAATCACTCTGTGGCTTTATCAATCATTTGTTTTAGAGCTAATTCTGTGCATTTATATTCCTTTCTTTCTACCACTGTATTCTTTTTCTCTTCTTTTACTTGTATGATTGCAGACAACTCTCTTCCCTCCCTCCATACCCACCCAATCAACATGAGTCAACTTAAACTGCTCTACAGCTGGACCATAGTTAGTCTACTTACTTCAGAGGATTGCCTCATGCAAACATTATTATTTGTATTTCAGCTGTGTATAGAGGTCCAAACCAAGATATGGGCCCTACTGTGTTAAGCACTGTACATTAAGACATAGTAAAAGACAATCCTTGCCAGAAAGAGCTTATGAACTAAAAAGCTGAGACAGACTGAGAGTAGAAAAAAGGAAATATTTTCTCCATTTTATGATGGAAAACTGAGACACAGATGTTACATGACTTGCTCAAGGTCTCACAAAGTTCATGAGACAGCCAATAATTGGACCACAAGATCTAGTGTCCTAAGCACAAGATCACTTTCTCTCATTTTTTAGATTTTCTTGTCAGTTTACTTGCTACATGTTTGCAGAATCTGTGATCATGTTTTCACTGGAAGTTTCCTTGAAAATGTGTTGGTTTTTTTGTCGGAAAAATTTTAATTTCTCGGTAGTTTTCAGCTGAAGTTTTCCAGGTTTTGGTTTTCTGTTTTTGTTTTTTTTTGTTTGGTTGTTTTTTTACAAAAAATAAAAATAAAAAAAATCAGAATTTTCAGGGTGGGAGGATGGGGGAAGAAATAAAACAAAACAAAAACATATTTTCCAATCAAACATAGGTATAATGAAAGGACTCTTTAATGTTGTCTTTTTTCATGTAATTTTGAAAAAGATGATGCCCATATATGAAACACCTATACACCTTACAGGAAAAGTTAGAACTATGCTTTTCAATACTTTTTCTTTGAGATTCTTTGAGGTTAGGTCAGTATAACTGCTTTGCTCAGGTTTGTGGATTTTTCACACCTCTGAGTGAACAGTTATACTGATGTAAGTTTAAAGTGTAGACTTGGCCAATGGTAACAAAAGCTGACCCAAGTATTCTGCCAGTCTCTACCATTTAAAGTAACTGCACTTTATCCTTTGTCTTCTGGATGTACCTAGTAGATCTATATTTCCCATGTCATTTATAAGCTTTCTTAGGGAAAAATTACAGTGTGAAGCGCACACAAACGGCCAGTCTTGAACTAACTTTTTTAACAGCAAGCTAAAAGTACAGTTAAACAAGAACTTTCTGAAACTTGCTAAGTACAGAAACACGATTAGGGCAAATTCTACTTCTCATTAGTCTTTCTCAAATATAAACATTACAACATCATTTACCTGAAACTTCCTGTATTCTGAACCAATTCTGTTCCTTTGGCAGCTCCGCAACAAAATATGCTACGGTATGTCAGTCTCAGTGTTCGCTCCAAAAGAAAAACAAAGGCTGTATTTGCATTTGCCAGCAAACTCATGGGGAATATTTGGTGGGCTTTCAGTGTCAGGCAGCATCTTTTTACAGCTCAGATGATGAATTGTTTAAAAATCAAAGCAGTTATCAAGAATTCTACTCCATCCATTCATGTTCAATCAGCCATATAAACAGTAAGTGCCAGTCCCTTCTTCCATGTTCTGTGTATTTGTGCTAAAAATGGCTAATATGACATTCTAAAAACATTTTATGAAACTACAGTGCAACCATTTTGAATCCCAATATTCTTGGTATGATAGTCATATGATGTAAGTGAGAATGAAAATCTATGGCACAGATCATTTGTATACCAGATATACCTGTAATAAGAATTCTTATCCATGCAATTCAACTTCCATTCATTGGAAACATTCCAGATCAGATACAGGTGTGGAAGATAATGTGTCTAAAAGAATTAAACACTTCTAACACAGCACATTAAAGGCCCTCCATTACTTTCATATTATCAAGACAAAGGATGTGCTGGGTATCAGCGGGTCTGAGCGTGAGCTATATTGTCACAGTAAATGATGAAAATGGCTGTCTGCCATTATATTGTCATTTTGGCCCCCTAAGGGGTTATGCTATTTTGTGTGTGTGTGCACACGCACACATGCTGCTGTATGAAAGTGATGCAACATGCTTCTTGGGTGGGTACTGGAGATGAGGGGGAGAAGAAAGAAGCATTTTCATTTCACTCAACATCTATATATATCACCCTCAGGGAGAGTTAAAGAGGGAATCCCAGTGACCAATTCTCACTTTGTTGGATAAGGATAGTTGCTGTTGATTTCAACAGCAGCAGCACATTTATTATAATGGGAGATTCCCGTATACTGTGGGGAGAAAGTCGGACCCCTGGAAGAAAGGACTAACTAAACAACACCCTACTGGTTCCTGAAAGTGTGAAGAAATATAATGGGAGATGAAAATCTAGGCGTGTTCTTAAACTATGGGTTCTGAATCTGCTTTCATGTTTTGGTTAGCAATCCAACCGCAGCCTCTTAGGGGTCTATACATTGCATGCTAGTATATAGGAGCTGCGGGGAGGGCAGAAATCCCAATTACAGATGTTTTTCCTTAGTGTGTAAACCCAAATATAAATCAGAAATGTATGGAAGGAAAATAAAAGAAGCAGGCGTATTCTGAATACAACTTTTAATTCTGGGGAAAAGATACGATGCTTACAGTTCATATTTTCTGCTGTAAAAATGGCACAAAAAAGTGTTTAGGAGGTACTCGCTATCTATCTGGGTATCTCTGCAACAGAGTTCCTGTTCTGAAAATCTCTAAGGCCTTAATGATGCAAATCCTTGTGAGATGTGCAACAGAGCATGCCCTTTTTTGCACTCCAATGCCAGAGTGAGAAAAGAGTATATGTTGGCACATGTGAAGTTAGGTATTAGACATCATCCTCTGCATTGAGCAGAAGTGGAGGAGACAGAATTTTAAACTACTTGCTACTACTCAGGAATAATGTGGAAACAGATTGTCAGCTGTCTAAATCGGCATAGCTCCATTTAAATGGGAGGTCCCAAAACTGCACCCCTCTAGGAAACATGGAGAAATGTTCGGGGGGGGCGTGGTGGGGGGGTCAGGAGGGAGGGCCACCCAGCTCTGCTTTGCTCCCAGCTCTGCTCTGGCCCCACTCCCAGCCACGGCCCCAGCTCCTAACACCATGCTAGCCCTGCCTCCAGCATCGACCCTCAACTGCGGCATGGCCCCAGCTCCTCACCTGGCCCTGGCCCCACCTCCAGCCTTGGCCCTTGGCTGTATCTCCATCCTGGCCCTGTCCTTCCCCATCTGTGGCCCCAGCCTCAGCCCCCTTACCCCTGTTTGCATCCATCCCCCTGCCAAGCCGTGGCACCACTCCCTGCCCTGGCTTGGGGGGGGGCATGGACAGGAGTAAGGGGGTTGCGACCCTGAAAAGTTTGGGGACCACTGATATAAATTAGTGGAGTTATATCAATTTACATGCACTGGTGCTGCAACATTTTTAGCCGTGGCCCTGCATAAAACCTGGGGGTGCTGCAGCACCCTCCACATCCCTACTTCCCGTGCCTATGTTCACACATGCTGAAGATCTAACCCATGGTGTCCAGGGGGCAGTGCTCTTACTACTGCAGATCTGGTTTCTCTGTATTACCTGTTCTGTCCCACTCATCACTTTTTACCTTGCATAATGACAGGTTTCAGAGTAGCAGCCGTGTTAGTCTGTATTCGCAAAAAGAAAAGGAGGACTTGTGGCACCTTAGAGACTAACCAATTTCTTTGAGCATAAGCTTTCGTGAGCTACAGCTCACTTCATATGCATCCGATGAAGTGAGCTGTAGCTCACGAAAGCTTATGCTCAAAGAAATTGGTTAGTCTCTAAGGCGCCACAAGTACTCCTTTACTTTTTACCTTGTGCTTTATATATGCTTCACTAGGCACAGAGTTTTACTGGATGAAGCTCTTAATGGGATTAAAGTGCTTACCGAACAAATTATAAGTTAGATAGCTCTTTGCTTGTTCATACTTGATATGATAAGTTGTTTTATCTTGATGCATAGTTGTTTATGCACTAAGTGGTTCTTATTACTGAAACTATAATGAAAACAAACACTGTCATTGCAGCTGTAATTTTAATAAGCTCCCAAGGAGTTACCCAGTAATCACAGAGTTACTGTTACAGGCCATGTGCCAAATCCTGAGGTCCTTTCTTAGTAAAAATTCCCATTCGATTTAAAAAGAAAAAATTACCTGTGGTAAACTGTTTCCCAGAGGTGCAAGTACCCTTAGGGGCAGAGGTGAGGGGCTGGTGAATCTAATTTATATTCCCTTTTAATGAAAAGTGTCCCTCAGAACCACCTCTACGGAGTAAAGCAACACTCCGGGGCAAACAAACTTATATACAGTGCACCTGCTTGAAAATGTTCATTTTTAGTGCTTGAAAAATATGCCACATATGTTAATAGTCTATCACAGAGCTCCGCTTGCAATTTGAAGTGGTGAAGGATGAAGACCTTTGAGGGAAGCATCCACTGGGACATTTTTGTAAAATACCTAATACTTGGTACAACCTGATGGATCCCAAAGGCCAAAAGATTTGCTGTTCAAAAGTACTTTTATGAGCCTCAGGGATGAATGATCTCTGACTGGGATAATTCAGGGAAGACATGAACTTGAACTAGAAGCAAGAAATTCTTCTCAAATCTCCATTTTATTTGGTGGCAGAGTTTTAACAAGAGGTTCCCAATAGCCCTCTCTGGTACATCACTGCCTCAACTCTTCACCAGAACAGACTGCTTCCATACTGTGATTCCAACAGAGGAGTGGGCTAGGAGCACAGGAATGAGTTTACCTGAATAACTTTCTGCTATGCAT